CCTGCTGGAGCTTCTCCACGGGTGCTTGGAGCATCTTCCTCCTCTGACCCGTGGGATGAAGGACACAATTTGCTCACAGTGTGGTCCCTGGACCAGCCCCAGTGGTTCCTGGAGTATGGAGGTGCACTTCCATGCTTCCTCAGCATGTCTCTGCATGGGTGGCTTTCCTATATCATCTTCCCAGCAAAGATGTTCCCTGCTTGGAATGGGAGGTTTTCTAAGGAGCCCATTATGGCAGTGATAAATCTGGGTGTGCAGAGATGGGAGAGATGGAAACCAGAGCCCACTGCTGGCTGGAGACAAGAGACAAGAGACGTTGGGTCCTTCACTGAGAGGGGAAACACTCTTGGTCGGACCTGGCTCCTTCTCATGGGCTGGGCAGGAGGGTCCTGTGAGATGGGATGGGACGAGACAGGACATCCCAGCTGCCTCCTGGCTCTGGCTGGCTGCTGCTTTCCCTCATTCCAGCCATCTTGGTCTTCAGTTTAACCTCTCCTGATGGTGGCTTGGAAGCGTTAATTAACTGCCTGGTTGATGCTGCATGAGGGGCCAGAGCCAGCGGGGAAGGAGCAGCAGCGCAGCCAGAAGCTGCCTCGCAATTCCCGCTCCTGGGTCCAGGTGTCCGCAGGATGCTGTTGGGGTGGGAGCTGAGGAGTAAAAGAGGCCAGGGGATCAGATTTGAAGGAGCAGGTCTTGGGAAGCTGGGTGAGCCTCCCACCCCCTGCCCTCCCACACGCCAGCTCCTGCCCTGCCCTCCTTTCTCTGCAGAAGTGTCCCAGGAACATGAAACGATTACTCGGTGAGGAGGATCCAGCTCAGCACTTCTTGGCATTTGTTCACGGCTTTTCATCTTCAAAGCTCCTTGCAAACATTAGCTAACTAATCCCTGCAACCTCCCTGTGAGATTGTGCAGGATCAAGCAGAGAGGCATTATCTCCCCACAGCAGATGGGGAAACTGAGGCACGTAGCGGTGACGCTGCCGCCCCGGGGTGTGGGGCGAAGCTGCGTGTCAGCTCAGGGGTGGAGTGTGGCTGCCCGAGCTGTGGAGGAGCCGCCCCTCTCTCCCCATCCCGGGTGATGCAGCCATGAGCACCTCTCTGATTTACCCAGCTGCAGCTGCGAGGCCACGGCAGAGAAAATCCAGCCCCAGGACGGAGCGGCTGTGTGCCGGGGCTGTGCCACAGCAGGGGGCCGGGCCTCGCGCTGGTGCCTTGCCATGTGCTCCGAGGGATGCTCAGGGAGGACGGGACCGAGGCTCGGGTTGAGCTTTGCCTGGTTCCCACTTGCTGGGTTCCTGCCACGTGCTGGTGCTGACGCCCAGCAGGTCTGGACCCAGCCCTGCTGTGTCCAGGGGTCCCATCACCAGCAGCTTCTGGGGTCCCAGGGCCCTGCAGCTACAGCTGAGCCTGGGCAGTGCCACAGGCTGTGGGACCAGGGCTGACATCTCTGCCTGTATGGGAAAAACTCGGGAGTCCAGCTGTGACTGGGAGTGTAACGGGGCTGGGATCACTTTGCTCCAAGCGGGAAAGGGCAGCCAAAGCCACCCAGGGACCTGCCCAGCGCCTGCCGGCACATCCGTCAGCAGGCA